AGGACCGCGGTGCCTCGGGGCCCACGCTGCGAAGCCTAATCCGGAGGAGAGCCACGGGGACGCCGCCCGGGCCCGAGCCGCCACGTCTTCCGGAAACACGCAGCCGCCGCCGCCGGGCCGCAAGGCCGCGCGCCATTGGCTACAGCCAGGCCAATAGTACGTGCTCTTGTTGGGATGTGCGCCGGGGCTCCGCGCCACCCCGCCAATCAGAGAGGCGCTGGCTTGTGATTGGTGGAGGGAGACGATCCGGAAGGGTGGGCGCTGCGGGCCGGTGGCGGGAAGGGGTTTGACCGCCGAGCGGCTGACGGGTGCGAGCCTTGCGCGTGGGACCGCAGGTGTCTGCGGCGCGGGTGGGAGCCCGCAGTCGTCGCTGCTGTCGCTTTCAGGAGCCCTGGCCCCCGCTGCACGCGCTTCTACCTCCTGGTGGAGGCCGCGGGGCGGAGGGACTCGCTCCGGGTTAGCTTGCGTTTTTCCTCTCGCATTGATGACTGCGGACGGGCCTTTTCATCACTTAACTAATTCTTGTATATACTTGTGCTGAGAGATCTTTTGTTGCTAAGTTACGTAACTGGGGAAGGGACAGGTTTTTGGCAGCGAAGTCCATAAAAGGATTATTTGAAATAATGGGAGGAAATGGACGTAGATCGAATCACTCCTAGCGAAGAAAGAGTTTTCAGGATGAAAAAGGCATTTTGCTACAGTGAATAGAGTCAATCTCTGCTCTGACCTTACAGTTCGTGAACGGACCTTATCTTCTAGGAAGTGGTAAGGAGATGCTGGTATTCATGAGGACGTAGTCTTGATTTACACTCATCCTTAAATGCCTGGGCCATTTATGTGGCCATTCCATACCGTTTACTCTCTTTACTCAACCTCTCTTAACAGCCTTGCACAGGAGCGATGTGATTTGATAAAGCAAACAGGCCAAGTGAGAATAGCAGGGTGCAGAATCTGTCTTTGGAGTGCACCCTTAGATTTAGCAAAATCTAAAATTAAGCAAATTATAACATGCTCTGTGTGTGTGTGTGTGTGTGTGTGTGTGTGTGTGTGTAATGGTGACAGATTGTCATTGTGCAAAAGGTTGTTCATAACAGTTCAGGGAAGTACATACTCATATTTAAGTTTTAACCATTAAAATTTAATATAACTCATGTTTCTCCCACATTTAACTGTACAGATTCTTTTGAACCCATAGAATACTAGCTGCAACCCCACCCTCTCTATCTCTGCCAGGGAGCAAAATTTACAGAGAAGTGGAGTAAGCTCTCTGTAGCAGAGAAAGGTTCCTGAAAATGACCTGCTAAGAGTACTAGTTTCTCTTAAGGGTGAATTTAGTGGTAATTCTCTAAAGCAAGTGCTCAGTTAAATGCTAAGTGATTGGTTTATTTATGCTTTTACTTAGTCTGATGTTTAAATTTATCCAACTTCTTATTTGTATGATAAGTCCTACCAGGCATGGCTGTGCATGCCTTTAGTTCCAGCACCTGGGAGCAGGCTAACCCAGGACTCGTGCCCTCTGTGAATTGAGGTCATGAGTCCTGCCATCTCAGTTTTTAAGGCAGGCTACAGACAGGCTTAGAGGAACTGTGTCATATTGCTAAGGTCCACGTCAACCTGGTGGCAGATCTATCTCCTATTTGGCCTTTTTTGGCTTTCTAACTTTGCAACTGTAGACTTGTTGACTTTCTATTTGACACCGTCATCTATGGGATTTTAGAAGCCGTTTGTGCTTTCTAACGTTTTGCACATAATAGTGACAGACTGTCATGGACTGAGCATTGTTCATTGTGTTGCTTTGGTTTGCATTTTGTTTTTTGGTGCTGGAGTTTTAACTGTGTAGCTGAACACCATGAGTTTACATCTTGGTGAACCCCAAACCAAAGCAAGCATAGCCAAGACATGACAGAGGGGAGGAAGATTTATTGCCAGGAGGCAGGGAGAACAGGGGTGTTGTTTTGAAAATGATGCTCTCCAGGGACAAAGGAAGGGCTAGGGGTTGCTTAGGGAGGCCTGTTCATGCGCATATGGGGCAGGAGAGCTGGGAAGGACACATTCCTGCACATAAGTGTTTGCGGGTAAGAAAGAAGATTTTGGAATCCGCCCCTGAAAAATGCCTGCCTTGCCGACTCACTAATGCTTGTGCCAAGCCCAACAGGACTGCTGTTAGAAAATGTTACCATATTTGTTCTTTCACTTTCAGAAGGGCGCTCAGCTCTCCAGCTCAGTGTTAGAATGGCGACTGCCTCAGGTTAGTGGATGCATTATTCTTTGTGTGTTATAGTGTCCTACTTTAATTTGCTCTTTGATTAAAAAAAAAATTGAAGAATTCTGATTCTAGAAATAGTTTTTAGAAGCTGCTAAAAACTATTTAAATGCACAACAGAATTTCCCATTTCAGTGTTAGTAAGCAAACGGTCACTGATGGCCAGAGCATTCACCCTGGGCTACTGTCACTCCAGAAACTACTCACCGCCCCAGACTGAATGCTGGTCCACACCGCTCCTCACACTCCCTTTACTCCAACCCTGGAGAGTTACTGTTCTCCTTTCTCTCTCTGAACTTGACGTTTGAGGGACCTCAGACACAGGGTGTCTGTTGAACCTCATATGGCATTATGCCCTCAAGATAATGCGTGTTAAAGTATTTTTCCTTTTTAAGGCCTATGATGTTTCTTTGTGTGTATGTGCTATATTTTGTTTGCTCATTCATATGTTGAGGGATAGTTATTTATTTGCCAGACTTGACAACTATGAATAATTCTAATATGGTATTCTGTATAGGAATGTCTTAAGTTCCTCTTCACAATGTGTGTGTGTGTGTGTGTGTGTGTGGTGAATATGGGTGTAATGTGCCACAGCATTTGTGGAGAGGTCAGAGGGCAGTATTCTGGAATCGGTTCTTTTTCCACTGTGGATTCAAGGGCTAGAACTCAGGCCATCAGGCAGGTACAGCAAGCACTACCATTGAGCCATCTCACTAGCTCTCTCTCCAGTTGTTTTGAGTGTATACCTAGAATTGGACCTGCTGCATCAAATGATAATCCCATGGTTAATGTTTTGTGGGGCTGGTGCTCTTTTGCACAGTGGCTGCATTGTTTATGTTCCCATCAGCAGTGCATAAGGGCTCTGAGAGTGTTTTTAACTGATGTCTAAAAGACTGAAAACAGGAAAGGAAGAAAATATAAATATAACCCCAAATGCCCTAATATGAATGCTAATTGGCATCAATTTTATTAGTTTTCAACCAAATTTGTAATGATTTGTACAGTTTTGGAACGTGATTTGAAAAAGCAGATATGGAATACGGATGTGGTACTAAATAATTTCTGTAGCTTATTCTATGTTTAATGCCCGAAATGTGTGGCTGTTTTAAAACTACCTTACTTATTTGAACTTTTGTTCTCCATCTGTTTTGATGCCACGTTGAACATACTGGGACCTAAGCTCTGTGTGGCTCTCAGAGTAGGTCTGCAAGTTCCCACAAGCAGTCTCTCCATTATCGACCTCCCCCAGGTCAGCTGTTTCTCATTGTTGCAGGTTTCACATGATCAGACTGCTGTGATAGTGAGGTCTTGCTCTTGGTTTGATTGAGGGTGACTCACTGGCAGGGTCAGGGAACTTAAACTAGGAAGGTTCTCTAGTCATTTCTGTGGTGGAGTGGTTATGGCCTTCACTGCATCCTACCCTACCAGCCGGAAAACAAGACTGGATTATCTTTAGAAAACACTCAGAAGGGTTTTTTTTTTCTACATAAGACACACCTGTCCCACAAACGAGCCTGCAACATTACAATTTGCCTAAATGTAAACAAAGATATATAACCAGCCAAGTTTTGGCTTCGTCTCAGGACTCTGCAGGTTAGTGATCAGTGGTAATAATTTGTTTAGGTCCTTACTCAGGTAGTCTTCAGTTCATGGTAAAGAGGAGACTAGCAGGTGCTGCTGAGCAGAGGTGTAGTGTGGTCATTGTTGGATTCCGTGTCTTACTTTGCTTACCCAGACTTAAGCTCTCCCAATGGGGTATGATTTAAAACTAATGAAATAATGGAGCAGATTCATTTTAAGAACTTAGTCTGCTTCCTCTACTGTTCTACCCATCTGTTGCTCTGTATTTGAAAGCCCCTTTGAAGTTGCCTTTGATTTGTTGTTTTGTGTTTGATGGGAGGGAACCTCTTTGTGAATTTCAGCTCGGGACATTGCTGGAACATCCACACGTGAACCACAAGCGTAGGAACACTAGCATGCGACCCACTCATCTCCACATGCTCTTGAGATGAAGTAGCAGCAGTATGCCCACCTCCTGCTCTTGTCCTTGTTTTCCACTGTGGCTGCAGTCATTGCCTTGGGCACTTGCTCTCACCCCCTGTACCTGTATTGTATGGGCTAGCATTAGAAATAGTATCATTTTGAGAGTGTCTCAATACCCAGTTTTCCTTACATTCTCTGTCCATCAGGACTTTGTGTGCAGGTCACCAGTGCTGACTTTGTGTACGGGTCACCAGTGCTGACTTTGTGCGCAGGTCACCAGTGCTGACTTTGTGCGCAGGTCACCAGTGCTGACTTTGTTTTGTGGGCTGAGAGTAACACCTGGACGATGCAGAATTTGATCAGAGAAGCGGAAGTGCCATCTGTTGAAAGGTGTTCACTGCACTGATTAACTTTTATGTGACCGTGGGAAATAGTTAAACCCTCTCTGTGTTGTCTGTGTGTCTTACACTAAGTGAGGTGGCTGGGTAACAGGCAGAATGAGAAGAGGCCTAGAACTGGGGAAAGCAAAGGTAAACTACTGTCTGTGAAGACTGACTGCTAGTTCTTATCCCACGACTCGCTCCATGGCTCTCATGCAGTTTGGAAGTGGGGGAGACTGTCAGAGAGGTGCTGTACTTTTGCACACAGCCTGCTGAAGGCTAAGGGAACTGAAGGAGGATGGGTTCTGGGCACCCTGCAGGCCCTGCTGTTTTCCTGAGGTTATCTCACAGCTGTTCCAGGTCGGGAAAGTGACCAGCCCTAGGTAGATATGGAAAGGAGGGTTCTCCAGAGCTGCTCAGTGAAGGGGATGCTGGGCAGTGTAGTTCTACCCTGGCCAAGGTAGCACAGCACAGATTCCACCGTTTGGCCTCTGTCTTACTAAACTTACAAATGAAGGCAGTGGTGCAATTGTGCATAGTGAAACTCTCCCTTGTACCGCCTCCCAGAGAGAGCACTGATTTGTCTTTATTCATCTGAGTCACATCCTCTTGGTTAACTCGAGACTCACAGCCTGATGTAGGAGGCTAGCTATTTTATTTTAGGTGTTTGGGTAATAGGACAGGAACCAAGAAATCAAAAATAGAAAGCCATAAGTTTGACCAGTAGGCAAGTCACAAGGTGAAGGAGAAAGATGTGGTATGTATGTCTTGTTTTTGCCGGTCAGTGGTCAGAGTTGGTATTTTAGTATTGCTGTTTCCAACTTTCTACTTGGGCTGTTTATGGTCTGTTTCTAGGCAAAGACTTCTGTTCTTGGTGTACATATTGGAGTCAACACTGTCACTCTGTAATAGCTTTATCACAGGAATATGTGGGAATGGTGGAGGTGCCCAGTGGACCCCTGTTCTGGACACAGTCTTATTTCTGTAGTGTAATAGTGATTCACCTTCCTCCTAGTGCTCACCTTCCCCAGCCCACTCAGCCGCCCTTGTCTGTCAGTTTTCTAGTGTGCAAGAGCGGGCCTTGGGATTCCCGGTTTCAGAGCACTGCTCACTTCCTTGGCACCTAGAGCCTCAAGACCAGCAGCATCCAAAGTTTGAGGAACGAGAGTGACAGTTTAACTAGTGGCTCAGTCAGAGTAGGGGGGACACTGCTTCCTAAGGCTGTGAATTGAGGCTACAGCAGAGGAGTCAGTATTCACTGATGTGGAACTGACCATGTGTAGGAGGAGGCTGCTTGTTTGTTCTGGCCGCCCAGAACTGAAATAATCAAACAAACTACATTAATTAAAACACTGCTTGGCCCATTAGCTCTAGCTTCTTACTGGATAACTCTTGTATTAATTTAACCCATTTTTTATTAATCTGTATATTGCCACGTGGCAGTGGCTTACCTGCAGAGATTCGGCATGTCTGACTCTGATGGCTCCATAGCTTCTTCTCCTGACTCTGCCTTCTTCCAGCATTCAGTTTTGTTTTCCCTACCTACCAAAGTTCTGCCCTGCTATAGGTCCAAAGCAGTTTCTTTATTCATTAATGGTAATCACAGCACACAGAGGGGACTCCCACATCAACCATGTCTCCCTGTGTGTGTGTGTGTGTGTGAGAGAGAGAGAGAGAGAGAGAGACAGAGAGAGAAAAAGAGAGTGAGAGAGACAGACAGACAGTACTCCATCCTTTAAAGAGAGGGCAGGGGGACTGCTCCAACCTTTACACTATTGTTACCCAGCTGGCACTAAGCTGATTTTTTTAAAAATGTCTTTTGCTGTTCTCTCAGTCCAGCTATTTCTAAACACTGAGGGGCATGATTAGACTAGTAAGGTCCAAAGAACTGTGTGAGCTGTGGTTAGAAGTACTTTGTGTAAAATGTGAAAATGGTCCACAAGGCATTTTCTACATTTATGTATGGAGGATTTCACAGAAGCATTTCTGTGAAGGCAAGCCCACGTGCAGAGCAAGTGTACCCAGTGAGACACTTCTATCATAGATGGTTCCAGTGTCTTGTCATTTTGCTGCTAGCTGGTCTTCCTTGTCAGAATGGTGCCAAGGAGGAGACCTAGTGAGACCTGTGTGTAACAGATTAGTTTCAGAGAGTGGATGTTGGTGCCATAGCACAGGCAGTTTGTTCTTAGCCTTGTACAAGAATGATTTTGTCCATCTGATGAATTAGTGTTGTCTTTGTTATTGTTAGTGGGCATTGCCACAGGACATAAGTGTCTTCACAGTTAGGGCCATGCCGAGTTCCTATATAGTCCTCCTTAGAACCTGTACCACTGTAACATGAGGGCTAGCTTGTCAGGGTTTCTATTCTGTCCTGTTCCCACAGTCGTTAGGTCCCAAAGAAAATCACACAGAGGTCTCCATAAAATTACAAACTGATTGGCCCATTAGCTCAGGCTTTGTATTAGCTCTTATAACTTATATAGCCCATTATTCTTATCTATGTTAGCCACATGGCTCAGTACCTTTTTCATTGGGGCAGGTCATATCCTGCTTCTTTGGTGGTCTGGGCAGGACTTTGGAGGAATGGGCTTCCTCCTTCCCAGAATTCTCCTGTTCTCATTGCCCCGCCTCTACTTCCTATCTGGTTGACCCACCTATACTTCCTGCTAATAAAATTAATAAAATTAAATAAAATTAGCGTTTATTTAAAACATGATTGGCAGAACATAGACAATTCTCCCACACCATACCACTTTTCCAGGATTCTCCTTGCCTAGCCCTAGACATCCGTCCAGTTTGTCAGTGGCAATATATCATACGGATCTGTACCTGAGGCACTGTGAGGAGCCATGTGAGCATCACCTGTGAGTCTCAAACTAGAATCAGCTCCTTATTGTTTCTCAGGGCCCCCTGCAATATTCGGGCTCGATTTTAGACAGTGCCAGTATGTCACGTAGAATCTTCAAGTTGAACCTGTGTTGATTTTCTTCCTCAGTCTAATAATGAGAATCTAGGTGTAAGGAACTCCTTGAAAGGTCACAGGTTCATGAGGTTGATAAGGTGGAAAGATAATCTTGTACTCCTTGTTTTGCCTTCATTTATAAACCTGTTTGAGCTATTTTTTTCGTATATCACCTTGGTTGTAGTGCTGGTGGTCTGCCTTATGGATCAATGTACTAATAAACACAGGTCACACGGTAGCTTAGTTTCTTAGGGCAGGCCACATTGATTTCAGAAGGAAGCTAATAAACACCTGTAAAAAATATGTGGTGGCTAGGTGTGATGGCACACACCTGTAGTTTCGTACTCGGGAGGATGAGGGCTGTAGATCGGAATAGAGTGCTTGTGTGGTTCGCCCGAGGTCCTAGGAGCAGCACTGCAATGATAAGATAGCATGTATCATTGTGGGAGGTAGGGAGGTAGCAGTTCCTGGTTAGCTGTGCCAACAGTGAGGAAGGGAGATGGGTGAGAGGCATAGGAAGGTCAGGCTGCATTCAGACCTGCATGGGTGGGCTGTTTCCTGTAGGATAAGCCGAAACTTAGGAGGAGGACAGCATGGGACTCATCTGATGCTCACTGGGACTCATATCTGTGCTGTCATGTCCAGGATGCTGTGTCCTGCTGAAGAGCTCAGGCCTCAGCCACGCAAAGTTGCAAACAAACCTACCCCAAATTTCCAGGAACACAGAGAAGTTGCAGGTTACTTGCTGTTCCACGAACATTGAGGAGGTACCGCAGGAGCTGACTTCTGAGCCATGGCAACAAGGGCAGCCAGGGTCCCTGACAAGAATGACATTCAGGAGCACCTGACCCTGTGCCTGCCATCCCAGAGTGCTCCTGATGACTGCTTCATTTCTTCCCTTCAGATCATGGCCACAAGATTTCATCCCAGGAAGAGGCATTAAACTACACTGATTGCTTGGGCAGATGTGATCCCATTAGCTTTAAAATGTACCCTGCTTCATTGATGTGGTATCAAAGAGAGTTTCACTGTGACTCGGTCAATACTCAACTTTAATAGTGGAGCTTCACACAGAGACTTCATAAGTTTGTCACCATCGTATTGTAGAGCAGGTTATCACAGCACTGGTTTTCATTTCACATATTCCCTTGTCAAGTTGTGATTGGCAGGTTGCCATCATGCCCCTGCATCAGCTGAGTCATGAAGCTTTCATGAAGTAATAGCCCTGTCACCAAGTGGCTTGCTTGGAGGATGTAGGAGACTGTTAAACCAGTTCTGTGTGACACAGTAAGAATGGCAGCCGTCATTTGTTGCATGTTCAACCTCTGACCAGGTCCCTGTCCTGAGCGTCTTGTGTGTTTCCCTCCTAACTCCTCCTAGCAGTGCTTAGGTCTTCATAATCGAATGTTATGGGCCTTCAGTGGAAGGGGAGATTGAGGTGTTGACTAGGGTTTTGCCGGCATCACTTAGCAGGGAAGGGGACTAATCCCAGGTCTCTGTGGCGTTAGAACACATTCTCAGCCCTCTGCTCTTCTACTTGTAGGCTTGTAATTTAGACTGAGGAGTTTCCAGAAACCAGCAGGGAAGCTTACACTGTTCATTCTGTTTTGTCTCTCTGTCCTCATCCTTTCCCCAGCTCTAACAGAGGAACTGGAATCTGTAACCAATGAGCTCCATGCGATTGACATCCAGATTCAGGAACTTACAGGGAGGCAGCAAGAGCTCCTTCAGAGAAAGTCCGTCCTGGCAAAGAAGCTCAAGCAGTGCTTAGAGGGCTCCGACGCCGAGGCGAGCAGCAGCTGTGACTCCTCACCAGCCGCGTGGAATAAAGAAGGTTTGCTAGTCTTGTGCCTTCTGACTGCTGTAGCCTAGAGTCCCACCAGTCCGTGTGGGACAGTCTGTTGTGCCAAGTGCCGCGGGGAATCCGCCAGGTGAAGCGGTGAACAGACGCTTAAAAGAAATCCCACACTAGCTCAGAATTGAGAAATAGATAGTAATTTATTTAGGGGTAAACTCACAAATCAGAATCCTCCGCTTAACTGGTTGAATCACGTGATCCAAAATGAGCAGCCGTCGGAAAAGAACAAGGGGAAGGAAAAAAGGGATGGACACAAGTTCGGTGTCTGCATACATAGTATAAGAGGCCACGCCCCGGTAGGCGGGTAATTACAAACTGTAAATCTTCATACAGCAGCAGTCTGTACCAGGAGATGCAGTGTCAGGCAGACCATTCTTTGTCCAGGACCTGTGATACAAATTGGGGTATTCTCTGCATATGGCTTCAGTAGTAGTTGTCAGTGTCTACAAAGTGAATAGGGTATCAGCTCAATTTTTAAGCATTAACTAAAACAAAGAGAAAAAGTTAGCCAAACCCTTGCCATAGTGAACAAGTCTTCTCCCCATACCCCCTTTTTTGGAGACAGTCTCTACATAGCCATAACTGTCCTAGAACTCATTGTGTAGATCAAACTGACCTTGAACTCACAGAGATCTGACTGCCTTTGCCTCTTAAGTGCTGGGATTAAATGCACAGAATAAACCATTCTTTATTTAAAATCGTGAATAAAGGGCTAGAGAGATGGCTCCGTGGTTAAGATCACTGATTGCTGGGTTTGGTTCCCAGTGTCTACATGGTGCCTCACAACCATCTGTAACTGCAGTCCCAGGGTATCTAACACCTTCTGGTCTCTGAAGGCCTCAAGCACTGACATGGTTCACAGGCATATTTGCAGGTAAACACTCATACGTATAATATAAACAATTAAAAATGTTATATAAAACTTGTATTACTAACTTTGATGGCATATTTTTAGAATTTACATTTTGTGTGTGTGTGTGTGTGTGCGCGCGCGTATATTTTCTGGTACTGGTCTCTAAATGTAACATTTATATCCAAATTTCAGAGTTTTGTTCAATTCATTCATGCTTGACACATCAGGGTACTGTGTACTCCCTAGTCACCATTCAGATGACCTTCCACATGCCTGACTGAGCACCACCCTCCATGTGGGCTAATTTCAGCTACTGGCAAGTGTTTAATTGGTTTCTGATGTAATAACATATGATAGTCAATATGCTTTTGCTTTGACTACTTAGTTATATTAATCACAGAATTATAAACATTTGGTGGTTCATAGTTGTTAAATATGTATGTTTATGTGATTTGTATTCTGGTGCCTTTGTGAAAAAAGTGGACATTTACATTCATATCTCGTTTACAGTTCTGATCATTCTAATCTGTTTAGCCTATTTTTCTCTTTCTAGATTTCGCGTGGTCTGGGAAGGTTAAAGATATGCTGAAAAATGTTTTTAAACTGCAGAAGTTCAGACCCCTGCAGCTGGAAACCGTCAATGTCACCATGGATAGAAAGGACATCTTTCTGGTCATGCCCACAGGAGGTGGGAAGAGCTTGTGCTACCAGCTGCCAGCACTGTGCTCAGAGGGTGTGTATAATAGGTGGCTGACATTAGAAATAATGTCTCATTAGACTGTCTGTTAGTATCAGTCATCTGTTAACATCAGTGCACTGGAGAAGGACCCTGTTTGAGGATGGGGAGGGATCCTGATGTGGTTGTTGAGAATATGGACTTCATGATGCTAACAGACATGCAGGTGGGCTGGTGTGAGATCACTCTGGGCCAGATGTGTAGGCTGCCATGTGCAGAGGTGCCTGGCGCCACTGGAGTGAGCCATGTCCTCTCAAGTGGCGTATGGAGAGAGGAGGACTCCAAGTGCCACCCTGAAGTTGAAGGAAAGAGGAACTTGCAGAAAGTTAAGGAGTAGTACAGGAGGGTGTCATCAGGAGAACGTGCTGGGATTAGCCTAGGGACAGGAGAGCTTGCAGGAGGGAATTTTGATGTCTGTGATGTTTGCCTGCAGAAGGTCACATAAAAGTAGGACCTAAAAGTTAAAGGTTAAAGGCCAGAACTAGTCCTTGACCATGGCTAGGAATTTAGGCAGAGACTGGCAGAGGCTGCCATGGGGCCCAGAGAGCAAGTGTGAGTGAAGCTGAGTGACTGGGAAGCCAAGCTTCCGAGGGTGGGGTACTCTGGAAAGAATGGCTACTAGGGAGGAAGAGAAAGGTAGTAGCCTGTTTGATGTGCTATAGCAAACTATCTTAGACTGGATATAAATAATTAAAGTTCTGGAGTCCATGGAGGCCAAGATCAAGGTAACAGCACATTTGTTGTCTAGAATGGACCTGACCCTTAGGTGTGGTCCTTTCTTGCTTTGTCCTCACATCATAGGGACAATCCCTTCATTCTTGTTCATCAGAACGTTGATCCCAGACCTCAGCCTCTTCCCCAAAGGCTGTGCTTTTCAACACCAGCACAGTGTGTATTCGGTTCCAATAAGGCTTTCATGGGGGTATCAGTAGTCGGACCACTGCAGGTGTTGAGAATTTCTGAACGATGAAGACTGTTTAACTAACGAGTGCATGTGCATAATGAGGGAGAAGGTGCAAATGTCGGGGAGGGAAACTGATGGGGAGCCCCATTCAGGTCCTACTGTGAGTAAGTATGCTGACTCTGTCTCTCCTCTGCCAGAGCAGAGCTGCAAAGTTGTGTCGTGTCAGCATCGCTGCTGCTCTCAGGCTGACTTTATCTGACAGGAAAGTGAATCCCACATGTGCCTGCTATTTGGAGCAGCATGACTGTTCCTTTGGCCAGTTTGGGATGATTTTTCTCTGATACAGCAGTTTAGTATTAGGCCTGGCATGTGTTATTTCATTAAGATTTACTATATTAGTTGTTAAAGAGGGTAACAAATTCATAATAGTAAAATCTGTGTTTCTGTTATCTTAAAAAGTACTTGTTTTTATGTGTATGTCAGCATACATGCATGTATACATGTATACATGCATGTGGAAGTCCTCTGAGCTGAGAAGAGGCATTGAATGAATCTCCTGGAACTAGAGATACAGATGGTTGTGTGCTGTTGGACAATGGTCTGTACCCTGTCACTTATATTTTAAATAAATGCTGATTGACCTAGTAACTCAGGCTTCTTATTAACTCTTATAATTTATATTAGCCCATAATTCTTGTCTATGTTAGCCATGTGGCTTGGTCACCTTTTTTGGTGAGACCGTCATATCTTGCATGTTCTGTGTCTGGCTTCCTTCCTGTCTGGGTGACGATTGCAGATTGAAACTTCTTTTCCCAGAATTCTCGTTGCTCCACCTCTACTTCCTGCCTGGCTACAGGCCAATCAGCATTTATTTAAAATACAAGTAACAGGATACAGACCATTGTCCCACAGCGGTTGTGAACTACCATGTGCTGGAAATTGAATCCTGGTGTTGGGTGACACTCAGCTCTTAACTGCTGAGCCATCATTCCGGCCCAGTGTTTTATGTTATGATTTATTTGTTTGGCTTACATTCATTTTATTTTGTCATTTATTTTGCCCATCACCCTGCTTTATGAAGGTAAGAAATAGTTATGCCGATCAATATGCATTAGCAACTGCTTGAATAGTAGGTTGGGTCCACAAGGTACAGAAAGTGAGTAGTGCAGCCCATTGTGGTAGGAGTGTGAGGCTGAAAGTTGATTTTGTTTTTTCTCTTTTAGGTTTTACACTTGTGATTTGCCCACTCATCTCTCTCATGGAAGATCAGCTGATGGTTTTAAAACAGTTGGGAATTTCAGCCACTATGCTAAATGCTTCTAGTTCTAAGGTGTGTGGGTATGGTGTGGGTTTTCAGATATAAACTCTTAACTGATTTGGGTCTCGGCTGTGTCTGAGTTACCTCTAAGTTACAAGCCCCAAACCAGGAGTCGCAGTCTTCTGCTCACGGGCTAGTTCTGGACACAGTCTGGTTTGCATGCCCCAATCATTTAAAATGCCCTTTATACTTACTAAGACGGGGAAGGAGAACAGCAGCCAAACCATGAAAAGCAGCAGTGTTCTCTGACATGTGAAGTCACAGAGATTTTAGGTTCAGTGTTCGTAAGTAAACTCGTGTTGGGACCAGCAAGCTCCTTCTCTTACACACTGCTTCACTCGTGCTCCTTCTCTTACACACTGCTTCACTCGTGCTTCTTCTCTTACA